CAATTGTTAGAACTGACATGTACTACAGTATTGCGAAAGAGCAGAGGCCGGTTCTTGAACAAGACAACGTCAGGGTTCAGCAGGTAGATGGAACGCCACTTGATGTGCTAGGAGTTGCCTGGACAGAAGTCAAAGTTGGAAAGACAATCTTTCCATTAAAGGTCATCTTTGCTAATATTAGGAACCAGGTAATACTTGGAATGGACTTTTTGATTCCAACCGCTGGGGTTCTAGACTTCTTCCGGCTGGAACTCATCTTGAACGGGGAACACATTCGATGCCTTAACCAGATAGGGAGATCATTCCTAAGAAGGATTTTAGTGAAAGAAACTATTGAGGTGCAACCAGGTCAAGAAACGCTCGCGCAAGGTGAGATCGCCAACTGTGTGGACGAGATGACGGGTACTGCCATAATCGAACCAGTTGCAGGCGGAGGCGAATTGGCTCGCCATGGGCTGGTGTTGGCAAGGTCCCTTGTCACTGCAGAGGCAGATGTTTTGCCACTGAGGTTGTTTAACCCGGGGAACAACAAGATAACACTTCGCCGGGGAACAATGGTCGGGATGATCTCACCAGCGGAAGTGCATGAAAGTGGGGAAAGGACAGAGAATAGTGGAAACGATGAAGTTCCTTCATACCTACAAGACTTGTTGCAACGAAGCCTGAGCAACATCGATCCGAAATATCACCAAGCTATCAAACAGTGCCTCGTGGATTTTCAAGATGTATTTTCTTCTGGAAGTCACGATTTGGGCCGGACCAATGCTGTCAGACACCACATCGAAACCGGCAATTCAAGACCTATAAGACAACGCCTTCGACGTCACCCTATCGTCAATCAGCAAGAGATTGATCGCCAAGTCAAATCATTAGTGCAAGAAGGTCTCATCGAACCTTCCGATAGCCCCTGGGCAGCCAATGTAGTGCTTGTGACTAAGAAGGACGGTACAAAACGGTTGTGTGTAGATTACCGCGGCCTGAATGTAGCAACTGTAAAAGACGCCTACCCTGTCCCCCGAATAGATGAGACCTTGGATGCACTAGGCGGGGCCAAGTGGTTTTCAACCTTAGATCTAGCTGCAGGCTATTGGCAAGTTGCCCTTGATAATGAAGCTCAAGACAAATCATCTTTTGTGGTTCGCGGTGGCCTATACAAGTGGAAGGTAATGCCATTTGGGCTGTGTAATGCCCCCGCAACTTTCGAGAGGTTGATGGAGAAAGTGATGGCTGGTCTACAATGGGACATATTGCTCATCTATTTGGATGATGTAATAGTGTTCGGTCGGACAGTTGATGAGCAAATCGTACGACTTCGCACAACATTGGCGCGGCTCCGGGAAGCCAATTTGAAATTGAAACCATCCAAGTGCAATTTGTTTCAACAGTCGGTGAAATACCTAGGTCACATCGTGTCTTCAGAAGGAATCACAACCGACCCTGCCAAGGTCGAGACCATTCGGAATTGGCCCAATCCCACATGCAGCAAGGATGTTCGAAGCTTCTTGGGGCTTGCATCCTATTACCGCAAGTTCATTCGCGGGTTCGCATCCATCGCATCACCACTTCATGAACTGACTGAGAAGGCTAGGCGTTTCGAGTGGAATGACGAATGTCAAAGAGCTTTCGAAGAGTTGAAGGAGTGCCTTATCCAGGCTCCGATCCTAGTATGTCCCTTACCAGAGGGGGATTTCCTGCTTGACACTGATGCCAGTCAGAATGGTATAGGGGCTGTGTTGTCCCAAATTCAGGAAGGCGAGGAAAAAGTAGTCGCTTACGCAAGCAAGAAGCTATCGAGGGCTGAGAGGAACTACTGTGTGACCCGTCGCGAGCTGCTAGCAGTTGTGTTCTATTTGAAATACTTCAAGCAGTATCTCTACGGTAGGAAGCTGACCGTTAGAACAGACCACGCTTCTTTGCAGTGGCTCCTCAACTTCAAAAATCCAGAGGGCCAATTGGCACGTTGGATCGAGGTTATCGCAGCATACAAACTGACAATACACCATCGTCCAGGAAAGAAACATGTGAATGCCGACAGTCTGTCCAGAAAACCATGTTCTCAGTGTGGCCTTGTTGATGACACAAGTGACGGCGAAGACACATCTACAGAGACAGAAACTCCCTCCGAGCAAGTCCAGTTCCATTGTAGGGCAATTATTGCCTTACCTGGGGTCACTCGAGAGGCCTTAAGAGAAGGCCAGTTGGAAGATGATAGTATGAGCTGGGTATTGAAGGCTAAGGAAGGAAGAAGCTGTAGACCAGATTGGGAAACAATAGCCAACTCGACAGCTGCAAAGAAAACGTACTGGGCTCAGTGGGACCAATTGGATTGCAAGCAAGGAGTACTATGCAGAAAATGGGAGACGTCGGATGGGGCATGCGTGAAATGGAAGGTTATCCTGCCACGGAAGTACCGAAAAGAATACCTAGAAGCAATCCATGGGGGTACAATAGGAGGTCATCTAGGCGTTACCAAGACATTGTCAAACGTAAAACAGAGGGTTCATTGGTCAGGCATGTCAGGAGACGTGAGGTCATTCATCCGGTCGTGTGACCTGTGCGCCAGAAGAAAATCCCCCTCAAAGAGGGCACGTGCTCGACTTCAACAGTACGAGGTGGGAGAGCCAATGGAAAGAGTAGCAATGGACCTTGTCGGGCCTTTACCCAAGACCATCCATGGGAATCAGTGGATCCTTGTAGTAGGGGATTATAAGAGCAAATGGATGGAAGCGTATGCGCTTCCGGATGCTCGAGCTACAACAGTGGCCCAAAAGTTTGTCGAAGAATTTGTGTGCCGTTTTGGTGTCCCTCGTGAACTACATACCGATCAAGGAACTAATTTTGAATCGCAGGTGTTTGCAGAGATGTGTTCCCTGTTGGGCATTCGAAAGACAAGAACAACAGCTTACAACCCGAAATCAGATGGGCTCATTGAGAGGTTCAACAAAACCCTCATCAATATCACCGCCATGCTCATCGAGCAGTCAAAGAAGTCTAGGGAATGGGATGAGTGCTTGCCATATGCAACTAGCGCATATCGCTGTACTGCACAAGAATCCACGGGAGAGTCACCCAACATGCTCATGCTCGGGAGAGAAGTGACGCTTCCAATAGACCTGACTATGGAGAATCCAAAGTATCCTAGCTGTGATGAACCAAAAACAGACTACGCTGAAAAGCTACGCCAGAATCTACAACAAGCTCACGAACGGGCTAGCGAGTGTCTTAGGAAGAGTGCCAGACGTCAGAAACGCAATTATGACAGGAAAGCTACCACCACTAATCTCAAGGAAGGACAGTTTGTTTGGTTATATGATCACAGCAAGAAGAAGGGGGTTTCCCCGAAATTACAGCTGCGATGGATGGGTCCTTACCTAGTGGTTACGAAGATCTCAGATGTTACGTTTCGGATTCAGCTGAGTCGCCGATCGAAAGCAAAGGTAGTACATGTAGATAGGCTCAAGCTGTACACTGGTGAAGATCTTCTTGCATGGGAGTATCGCCTTAGAGTTCCTGAGGAGGAATTTCCCTTTGCTGATTCTCCTAATCTTTCCCCTGAGGTCATACCAGAAGAGATCAGCCCTGCCAGTGATGAAACTTTGTCAGATGATCATCAACCCCAGCTTGATGAGACCCCTGCTGATGACCAACCCCAGCTTGATGAGAACTTGCCTGATGATCATCAACCCGGGTTCGATCTTCCCACTGATCTACCTCAGACTCCCGTGATTGAGAGTCGCTATCCCAGAAGAAAACGAAAACCACCAGATTTCTTTTATTAAATAAGAATTATCGACATAAATAATTATTTGTGTTTTGTTCTTCACAATTGCAGAATAATGTCTGAGGAGTGGAAGAAACCAGAGGACTTGGATGGGGACCGGCTTTACAAGTGCCGAGAATGTCTTTCCACGTTCTTGTACCACCGCAGCCTGATGCGCCATATCGGGGAGAACCATCGGGATGGATCCCGGAAGTGGAACTGCAAGACCTGCGATTATTCCTCTACCAGGCGGGGGAATTATGAAAGGCACGTGGACGGACACCGAAAGGACGAACAGCGCACGGTTTCCAGAAGAGAGT